AAGAAACCATTTGTACCATATACTGTTTATACTGTCCACTACTACCTGCCAGGCAAGCCAAATGATATAACCAAGTATACTAACTCTAATGAAGAACTTTGGTTTACCCACCACATGGGGGCAATTACACCAAGGACAATGTTTTGCGTTAAAAGCAAAGAGAAAACATTGAGCGACATCAGAATTAGCACATGAACCAGATTCAAGATAAAGTTTCATTTTGGCAAACATCCAGAGAAACTGACACTTCCCTTGCAAACTGAGCAGAAACAGAGTAAATTCAGACTTCAACAAGCTTGGCTCAACATCTGAAGGGGTTTCAATGAAAGGGTCTCACACCATTCTGACTACTATACACCTGGCCGTCTGCCTGCCAGGAGTTTCTGAGATTAGGATCTAATTTATAAAAAAAAACACACACACAAATAAAATCTGAGCTGATTTTTAAAGCTTTTGTGCAAAACCATGCATTTTACAAAAACCAGGGAGTGAATGAGTCTTTGGTCAAGTTTGTTAATTGCCCTGAAACCAGAGAAATTATATAAAGGTGAGAAAGTCCAGAGCTGAACCCTTAAGAGTATTCAGATTACATATGGTTTGCATGTGAGCCAAGTAGAGAATAAAAAATATAAGCTTCATTTCTTGAGGTTTCACCTGTGTGCCCACATTTTGCTACTAACTATAAGTATAGGCGTGTGATTTATTGTATTTTCTAATGTACCATGACACATAGGTCCTATGGCTTGTCCGCAACCATAGAACAGCACGTTTAAGTAGGCATGCACCTAAATGCTGCACAGATGTTTTAGGATTAATTTCACTAAAGTGTTGAAAAGGAGTAAAGAAAAGCAAATAAATTCCTGAAGGAAATTTCCCTAACCCTCACAGTCTGGTTTTAACATCGTAGGATTTGATTAAATGCAGCAAACATTTTTTATTATCCATGTTAAATCATATGAACTTAAAAAAACTATATATAAAGTATATTTGCTTTGATTTGCTTGTTAACAAATATCTGCATAACGTAAAGCTGCTTTAGCAAATTTACAGTACAAGCTGGGCTTTGAACGCAAACACGCTGAGACCCACGAAGCCAGAGGAAACAAGATGATGCTAAAAACCAGTCGCAGTTTTCTACGTCTAATCGTCGTTTGTTGTCCGTGACAGTAAATGGAAATTATCTTTTTGGGACTCTGGTAGTTTGTGTTAAAGTTGAAGTGGTAGCAGCCGGCTATTTCTCCTATGATGTTATTGAGTGGAGAGCCTCTCACACCACTGGTGTTCTGTTGCTAAAATTTGCGAGTGTGTTATGAATAAAGGACCCAGAAAAGTGCAGAAGTTCTGCAGTTCGTCCAGACCGACAACCAGATGGTCCAATGGTTGTCTTTGGTCTAAAAGTAACTATTGGTGGAGGTTTTTAGACAAATGCAAAAGAACCATTTCATTAATGTTTTAAAATCTACACAATACATTTATATTATGTTAAAATGTTAGTAAGAGGCATGAAAAATTTGTTTTAAGCTAATTTGTTTTCCAAATTTGCCATTGTAACTTAAAGAATGGACTAAAGGCTAACAACTGGAGCCAGATAAGACAGAGTGCAAATTGCCCTTGAGATTGAACTCTATTGGGATAACATGACCTTACACCTGGTTTAAGTGATAAATATCAAGCATTTGACTTTTGAACACACATTATCTATGTTGCTCACTTAGGATTCTACTATGTAAGAAAGAAAAAAAGCTCAGATGATATTCTGGTTTGTTGTAGACTACTGAATATTTAAACTAGATTATAATCAGGGTACAAGTGAGATTTTCAACTTTAGACACATCATCTATGCTATTTCAGGAACATAAAGTGGGGCAAAAAAGTATTTAGTCAGCCACCGATTGTGCAAGTTCTCCCACTTAAAATGATGACAGAGGTCAGTAATTTTCATCATAGGTACACTTCAATTGTGAGAGACAGAATGTGAAAAAAAAAATAATCCATGAATTCACATGGCAGGATTTTTAAAGAATTTATTTGTAAATCAGGGTGGAAAATAAGTATTTGGTCAATAACAAAAATTCAACTCAATACTTTGTAACATAACCTTTGTTGGCAATAACAGAATGATAAATGATAAATGACCTGCACTTGTATAGCGCCTCTCAGAGTAAGGACTCCAAAGCGCTTTACACTACAGTGTATCATTCATCCATTCACACAAACATTCATACACTGGTGGAGATGAGGGGCGAGGCTGCCGAGCACAAGCGCCACCGGACCCTCCGACCACCACCAGCAGGCAAGGTGGGTTAAGTGTCTTGCCCAAGGACACAACAGCAGAATTCTCTGTCCGGAGCCGGGATCGAACCTGCAACCTTCCGATTACTGGACAACCCACTCAACCCGTTGAGCTACTGCTGCCCCAACAGAGGTCAAACGATTACTATAGGTCTTTACCAGGTTTGCACACACAGTAGCTGGTATTTTGGCCCATTCCTCCATGCAGATCTTCTCGAGAGCAGTGATGTTTTGGGGCTGTCGCCGAGCAACACGGACTTTCAACTCCCTCCACAAATTTTCTATGGGGTTGAGGTATGGAGACCGGCTAGGCCACTCCAGGACTTTCAAATGCTTCTTACGGAGCCGCTCCTTTGTTGCCCGGGCGGTGTGTTTGGGATCATTGTCGTGTTGGAAGACCCAGCCACGTTTCATCTTCAAAGCTTTCACTGATGGAAGGAGGTTTTGGCTCAGAATCTCACGATACATGGCCCCATTCATTCTTTCCTTATGGTGACCTTTGTTACTGTGGTCAGTCGTCCTGTCCCCTTAGCAGAAAAACAGCCCCAAAGCATGATGTTCCCACCCCCATGCTTCACAGTAGGTATGGTGTTCTTGGGATGCAACTCAGTATTCTTCTTCCTCCAAACACGACGAGCTGAGTTTATACCAAAAAGTTCTACTTTGGTTTCATCTGACCACATGACATTCTCCCAATCCTCTGCTGTATCATCCATGTGCTCTCTGGCAAACTTCAGACGGGCCTGGACATGCACTGGCTTCAGCAGCGGAACACGTCTGGCACTGCAGGATTTGATTCCCTGCTGTTGTAGTGTGTTACTGATGGTGACCTTTGTTACTGTGGTCCCAGCTCTCTGCAGGTCATTCACCAGGTCCCCCGTGTGGTTCTGGGATTCTTGCTCACCGTTCTCATGATCATTTTGACCCCACGGGATGAGATCTTGCGTGGAGCCCCAGATCGAGGGAGATTATCAGTGGTCTTGTATGTCTTCCATTTTCTGATAATTGCTCCCACAGTTGATTTTTTCACACCAAGCTGCTTGCCTATTGTAGATTCACTCTTCCCAGTCTGGTGCAGGTCTACAATTCTTTTCCTGGTGTCCTTCGAAAGCTCTTGGCCATAGTGGAGTTTGGAGTCTGACTGTTTGAGGCTGTGGACAGGTGTCTTTTATACAGATAATGAGTTCAAACAGGTGCCATTAATACAGGTAGCGAGTGGAGGACAGAAAAGCTTCTTAAAGAAGACGTTACAGGTCTGTGAGAGCCAGAGATTTTCCTTGTTTGAAGTGACCAAATACTTATATTCCACCCTGATTTACAAATAAATTCTTTAAAAATCCTGCCATGTGAATTCATGGATTTCTTTTCATATTCTGTCTCTCACAGTTGAAGTGTACCTATGATGTAAATTACTGACCTCTGTCATCACTTTAAGTGGGAGAACTTGCACAATCGGTGGTTGACTAAATACTTTTTTGCCCCACTGTAATATCACCTAATTGTTGTATTTTTAAGTCTAGGGTGACGTAGTAAACTAGAACTTAGGGACTTAGAACAGTTATCAAAACAAGACAACTAAAATAAAACAACATGCTTTCATATGGCACAGCCCTTTGGCTTTAGAGTTCAGATTCCTGATCTTCCCTCTTTATTTATTTTTTTTATTGGATGGTCCTTGTCAGGCTTGTGGTGGACACATGAAAATTAAAATGTTTCGAAGGATATGCTTCAGTTAAAAGCCTCATGACCAATAGTGGTAAATAGCAGTGATTTAAAAATTAACAAGGATCAATGCTTATCACTTATGGTATAACAGATCATAGTCTTCCAAGAGACTACGCAGATCCGTTTTGGTTTTAGTCTAAAGCTGATGGATGTAAGCCTCAGCTCCACTAAACCTTAGTGGTTACTGTGTTAACAGAGTTGCATAAAATGTTGCTTCTAGATTATCAAGAGTAATACCTCAAGCACAAATCAAACACTTAAAGCCTAATAAAAGGAAGCCTTGGATGTCCTGTTGTATACATGAAAATAGGATGAAATCTGTAAATCATAACTTAAATTTGACCTTTTACATTTTGGCAACTGAGCTTCATAAATGTTTATGTAACAATACCTAGGCTTAAAATTTGGTGAAAAATTACAATCAGATGTTAATCATTCCTGTTGCTGATTATGAGGTCTAAATAATAAAGTTAGCAGGTATTTTTATTGGTATTAATTGGCAGAGGCAGGACATTAGTCCCTTCCTGTGAGCTGTCAGGTTCTTGAATGACAGCTGGCTGGCCAGCAGGGAGAGACAGCCAATCAGAGCGCGGGGCTAATGATACTGAGCTAAGACTGCTAGGAATATTACAGCCAATGTGCATTCCAACTGTAAAGGGTATTACGTGGCCACGTTTATATCATTCATGTCATGTCCAACCAGATACAGTATTTATGTTTACATTTCTTCAAAAGCTCGTAGAGAAACGTGCGACATGGCCTGGCTGACTTAACCGACCAAAAGCTAATCTGGCTAGCTGCTGAGCTAGCTAGCAGTCGTCCTTTTAGAGCAGACTTTTCTCTCGAATGTTGTCATTAAGTGTGAGCTTCAACCTCTTTCCGCTTTAGTGATCCCATCACCGCACTGCCTCCCCATTTTCAAGCTATAGAGGAAGCGTCTCCCCCCACCTCCTCCCATCTAAAGCCGGGCCCTCCCCTCTTACCTCTGAATTTCAGTTCGTGCTGAGGCTCCAAGAGAAGAACCTGTTCCGGCCTGGCCATATCCCAACAGCTGGAGGGGTGTTATCGCACTGCAACCGGTTTGCCCCCGCGTTAGGATGTTGTTAACGCTGCGACGTCAGACGGTGCTGTTCTGTCAATGAATTTTTAGTGGTGGATATCCCGGCTCCCCGGTCACAAGTACTACTCGAGCTGCTCAAGGCTGCTGTGATGCAGCAGGAAGGGAGTCAGCCTGGTGACGTCACTGCCTCTGCATAGCCGCCTGCTGGTGAGGGGTGAGGGGATGGGAGGGGTGGAAGGGGAGCACCCACTGCTCGGGGGCCACCCATGGGGCCAACCCCCCCCCCCCCCCCCCCCGCCTAAGGAAATCTGAACCCAGCTAAGAGGTTAGCAGGTGCAGGTTGTCATTTCAGCTGGAGAAGAGCATCCAAGTTCACCTGCTACCACCCACAGTGGTGGGAGGAGTGCTGTACTTGTGCAAAAGACACAGTTCAATTCAATAAATAACTTGTGCAGCATATAGATCTATCTGAAAGTATTTTTACTTTTTTTGGGTGGGGGGGGGGGGGGGGGGGAGTGAAGTGGTTGTCAGCAGACAGTTGTCAGGGAAATATCCCACTTTAGAGAATCAAGGAGAAATTCTCATGTCAAAATGACAAAAACTTTTTCAACGCTAATTAACTATAATACAAAATCACAGCTGGAGATATTTGTATGCATAAAGCACCAACTACGCTCTGCTCCAACACATTCCTACACACACACGACACATTCAATAACTGAACATGACAGGCCAAAGCCTATTACACACCCATTGTTTCTAATCAGGTGTCAGAGCAGGGAAACAGCTAAAACATGAGACAGTGGCCCTCGAGCAATTAAGTACTTATCACCTCATAATTGTGTGTGTGTGTGTGTGTGCGGGGGGGGGGGGGGGGTGTCCAAATTTGGCTGAATTTCTTGTCAGTAATCTTGAGCAGTAATCAAGATTCTTGACTTAAAATAAAAATAATATTTCACCTGATGTTGATAAAATTTTGAATCCAAACTCCCCTCTGAAGAAGAGCTGGAGTTTGAGATCTTTCAGCATGACTCCACACTGCAGCCTGTCAAACACAAATCTCAAGTGTCACGATTTATTTATTTATTACTTATAGCCACTGGAGCAACACAAATAATCTTTAAAAAAATAACCTTTACTCTGACTTTCTTTTCCCTCCATTTTATTAGTAAACAACTGAAAATTCCCTTTTTCACACATTTGGAATTACACAGCAAACAAGTCTTCTCAGGCATTTTGTCACAATCAATATTAGACATGATAACAAGCTAAATATGGCAACTACACTGCTAATAGACGTACTGCATATAAAGAACAGGTGCAATCTGATCTCATCAATCCACACTGTAAAAGAGAGAAATAGAATAATAGATTCCCAGGGCCAGCCCAAGACATTTAATGTTTTCTAATGCAAAAAAAAAAAAAAAACTACAGACACATGGTTAACTTCATGCTTTCTGTGTCTAAGAAGAAATAAAATATTTTAATTATCAAACCTTCATATGATTAGAATTTTATCGTAATTATTTTCATATCTACAAGTAAATCAAGTGTCAAAATGGCTTTGGCACCGCAGTCTTCATAGCAACGAGAACCAAGCAAAAACCTGAAAGTAACATCAAGAGATGGAAATAACTCAAGATGCTTTTAGAGGATTATATTGTCAACTTATTCCACAAGACAAGACTGCACACATAGTAGTAGGCAGGAAAACAGGTCCGATAACACAAACTGTCAAATGTGCAGTGTTATAGGAACTACAGTGCTGTCCCGTTTGCTGATGATGGGGTAAAAGCCAGCTACAGGTGGTGTTATGATGTAGTGCTGGATGAATTATTGAAGACAGAAGAGAATATTTAAAGCATTTCCTCTGAGGTTTTTCATTTGAAACTACAGCACTTTGCATCCAATCAACCACCATCTGTGGGGGAAACAGGCTATCCAATCGTCCCAAAATGATATCAAAATAACTGGAGGCTGAATGGATGAGATCAAAGTCAGGTCTTGGATTAAAACAGTTGAAAGGCCAGAAAATATGGAAGCTTTGAACGTTTATGCACAGACGGGCCTGACAATTGCACAATAGTGAGTCAGTGTTGGTTTACAGGTTAGCCCCTAGTGTCCAATTAGAGAAATACATCCAATTAGCATAAAGACAACGATGAAAATTAATTATGTAAGGTAAACTTCTTATATGCTGTCCAATGATTTAATGATACAGTAAAGAACTGGAGTTCATGACAAATATGAGGCACAAGAAAGAGTCTGAAACCAGTGATTCATTGCAGAATTGATGCAAAGGCTGGATGAAGGATCAGCTTGTCAACATAAGACTCTCCACTGGCTAACGTGAGATTTGATCAAGTTTCTTCAAAATGAGGTCTAGTTTCCAGATCTCACGGTTTTCCTCACAAACCAAGCAATTAGTGAGAGCTGGTGCTGATTAGGTGAAAAAAGGAAGGACGGATAATGTTTATAGGGGGAAGTAAAGAATCTGGCACGGCCTGATCCAAAGAAAAATCTGCCTTCGCTATGTTACTTTTTTCAAAGCAGCAGACGACAAATAAAGACGGGGAGGCTCATCAGTGATGGATTATCACAGGGAAGTCTGCCTATGAACGTGTGAGAGAGGGCACAATAAACACAAGTGTGTTAACACATCTTTAGTGATTGTTGAAGGAAATGTAGAACAGATGCAGAAGGCAGCGTGGAATAATCGACACCCACCGTTTTAGGCTCTGATTAAGCGTTGGGAGAAGCTGCCAGTAAGTCCTTCAGATCACAGGGGTTTATTTATAATAACAAGGTGTTACACATAAGAACGTTTCGAGTGCAAATCAGAATTTTCCTCCAAAGCCGAAGAGAAGAAGAATAACATTGCTGGTTAGCTCATTTACTCTCTGGCAGAGTTAGCCCGCCTCTCTCGGGCTTCATCGTGTCAAACAAAGCTAACATCTTATGGCACCAGCTCCACATTCCCCCTTCAAAAATCACCGACACATTCATCTTCCAAAATGAAGAACCATTCCTTCCTTATGGAGGAGGTGCGCTCTCAGAAGTCTTTCATTTGTGCATTGTTTAATGCATGACTGGTGTTTACATGAAAACAACCCTGTGTTTTTATTGTTTTACCCTCTACGTCGAAACAGCAATCACACATCAGACGACGCGTTAATCCTGCACAATCCGGCAGTGACTGACGGCATTTTCTTCGTCCTTCAGAACCTTAGATAAATTACTAACTACACATTAACAATAAATGTTCCGTCATGAACACCTTTTTAGAGGAATGCTGCAAACAAAAAGAAAAGAAAATGGCAGCACATAAGGGTCAACTAACACAAGTAGATGAGATTAAATCACTTTTTTGCATGTTTTGGATGAAAATTATGTTCTAATGAACATAATTAAATGATTCAGCCACAGAAAATGGAAAGTTTCCCTTGCAGAAGTATTCATAAGTCATTTTTAGTAAGCGTTTTGTTAATTCTCAGTAAACCTGAAGCATTTCTCCTTCCAGTCATTAGAAGATGACATCTGAAGATTTGCTACTGTTGAAAGTTGTGAAAATGTGTTTGCTGCTGCTGTCAGAAATGAACTGCTGCGTCCAATGGGTGTGGGTGATTTAGCAGGGTTGTGTGTGAGTGTGTGTGGAGGTCTGCAAGCCAAAGCAGGGATGTAAAAGTCCGGTCTCAGGGTCAGGCACCAGCATCATCAGCAGCATGTCCTGCGAGACTCAGAGGTCTGTCGTCCCAATTTAAAACTTCTTGCTGAGGATCCTCCCGCACCATCAACAACGGGGATCCGCTTACCTATAACAACAACACACACACACACACACACACCTAAATACACTTGTTAGCGTTGTTAAAGATGAACCCGATGATGTTTGGGCCAAACGGCACCAGGCACCTCAGAAACACACTCACTTATCTCTGTAAACACTTCGTCGATGTTAATGGCGTTCTTGGCGCTGGTTTCCACAAAGATGGCATGGATAGAGTCAGCATAGTCCTTGGCATCTTTTTCTGGCACTTCTCTGTAAATAGAATTGATTTATTAAAGAAAAGAAATATGTGTAGTAACTGAGATTGATTTGATAAAAATGTTAATGTACTGATAACATGTGGAAGATTTCACAACTGAAAGGATGAATCTCCACACATCCACGAATGAACCAACTATCCTCTTGCTGCGAGTTACCAATACTACAAACCGTGCCACCGTGCAGCCCCCTATACATGAATCTGAGAAAGATAATAGTTAAAAAAAATCACACATAAAGTCTTGGTTCAGTATGTTCCTTAACTTTAGTTTCACCGTTCGATTTACTTTTGGTAAAATTAAATAATACATAACAGAAAAATTGCTTTCTCTTTAGGAGCCGATACAACATCAATAATGTGGCTTTCTCTGCTGAAAGAATAGGCTAAACTGTAAAAAGAGAAATGTTTTCTATCTTTAGGAATTTAGCTTTCTGTATTTCCTTAAATGTAACATTGGGAGTTCTGGCTTGTAGCCTTGTTCAGGTTCATTCAACCTTCCCTTATAGAAAATCTCTTCTAGCTAGGCTCGTTAGAAGGGTCCCATATTGATGCTAAGTTTTAACTTCTGTTTAGCACCACCCTGGTTGCTGGCAGTGGCAGCTCATCCACAGGGGGCGCTAGGGTGCTGCCCTGCAAGACGTGAGGGAGAAAGAAAGATATCAAAAAAGTAAACTAAAATATATATAAATATTTACTATAAATGTGTCTATTTTGCTTAATCGTGTGTGCCGACATGTAATCTAAATAATTTACACATCATTTTCATCAGCCGTCTCCCAATAAACAATTAATTTCCTCCAACAGACTCATTAATATCACTCCTGGGGCACTGAGAAAAGCACCCCGGAGCTGCAGCTAAACAGCCAATCATCTTGGTTGCTAGGAAGAACTAGAGAATTTTTGGCCAATCAGCATCACTGACTTAATTGACTCCTGGGACGCTGGCCGATGGTGCCCCTGCTACAAAAAACAAGAATAATTGTCAAAATCAGGAAAGGGACCAAAGAATCACAGCAGAAGCCAACTGCACGTCATTCAAAGAACAAATAAAAGAACTGGAAAAGGGAATGGATCGCCAGCAAAATATGCAGGTGATGTTAGAAATTAAATTACAGGAGCAGAAAAAATGTAAATGAGGATTTACAGCAAATATCCTCTGATCTTAAAGTTGATACAGAAGAAGAGTCTAGATTTTCTGGAATCACAAGAAAATATTTAGAAATAAGAATTTTGGATCTTGAAATGCAGCCGAAAAATGAAAATGCTGATAAAATAAAGACTGAAAATTAACTTTAATTAGCTTGTGAGTTTCAAACAGCAGCTTGAAGAAAACAGCTTATTCTGCAAAAAGCTGCAAAACAATTTGGACCAGGAACACCAGCTCAGACTCACTTATGAACAGGACCAGAACAACAGCCAGCACAAAGTCATGGTCAACGAAAACATCAAAGAGGAGATAAAGGATCTGCATTGCTGCAGGCCCCCAGTTAAGCACATGCTGTATTGTTTCTCGCTAATGTTCACCTGGCGTCTGACAGGTCACACTTGTTGCCAGCAATGGCGACAACTATCTCAGGAGGGCCATGCTGGCGAAGCTCTTTGACCCAGTTCTTCAGTGTTTGGAAAGTCTCCTGATGAAACAACGGAGTACACAATAAAATGACACACAGGTAGGTACAATATGTCTCCTGATGCAATTACACAAACTGATTCAATTTAATCTTCCAAATGACAGGACGGCCATAAAAGCAGAGAAGAGCTGAGCGCCTACATGTCTGGATCATAGCTGAAAATAACTGGAACTGTTTTTTTTATGCATGTGGCGCCTTTGTGCTTTGCCCTTGTTGTGCCACCTTTACTTGCGCTGCTTTTTTTCAACGTGTGACTCTCAAGGCAAGACAAAAAAAAGCATACTTGCAAAGGGTGTAACAAAGTAATTTCACTTATTTTTTTATTTCAACATTGAAATACAAATTTGATTAGTTGCATTGCCTTAGGTAGATCTAGCAGTCAATCATCGCAGCCTCGCCTCAAGACTCTTTACCTTGTTATTTTCCTATTTTAATGCATTTTATCTTGCATCTATGTGCAACAATACACTTTACACTCTTTAGTATAGGCGCGTAAATGACAAAACTAAGTGATTTAGTGATGGGAATAAAAAAGTGTTACCGACCTCTTTTGTGATGTCATAAACAATGATGGCTGCTGCTGAGCCTCTGTAGTACATTGGTGCCAGAGCACGAAACTATCGGAAGAAAGAGAAAGTTTTTAAGGTCAGATAGTGAATAATGATGCTCTTTATCAACCATTGAAGGTAACAATATAAGTAGTTAGTTTACAGGCCTTTATGAAGCTTCATTTCTCTTTAATCTGGATCATTTGTAGGATCAGACATCATGAAGTTTGAATAAAAACATGAATCCAAATGAAACTCTGCAAGTTTCAGAGCAAAAAATGACATAAAAGACTTTGACTTTCTTCAATTCTCCGTTCTTGGATTTGAAAACAATATATAATATACAATTTCCACTAAATAACCCAATTCTTTCTTTTCATTACTGTGGATGATGGTTTTGGCTTTGCTCAGACTGTGGTTAATCCATTACACCAGCACAAACTTATGGAAATTACATCATCAGGAGTTTTATTGAACAAAATAATATCGAGTTTAATAAACTCAAAATAGAGCAGAAAACTATTACACTGAGTACCGCTTTCAAAACCCCAAAAAAGTTCCTATATTCTTTAGCTGTGAGCTAAGGGCCCGCGTTTCAAACTGAAACAAGTCGTCCCACCTCACACATGTGAAAGCTATCAACCGAAAGATGAGCAGAAAGTGTCAAAAGCTGTCCGTGGGTGGATATTTATGAAGGATCATGCATTTGATCTTAACCCAATACATCACACGAACCTGCTTAATCAGAACAACATGTGTAAAGTTTCTTAATCCAGAGCTGCCCTGGGAGGCCCGAAGAATGCCAGATTATGGCATTTGTTGGTAAAGCTGCTTCCAGCACACAGTTAGACTTGGGATGACCAATCATCCTGCTGGGTTAACGTATAGTCGTATTCTAAAACCTGTAACAGCATTGTGGTTTCAGTTACAGCTTCAGCTTTGTACAGACGTCAAATCTGAATAATTTAGGTATGCAAAAACTTCCATGATAATATTTAGGCCTAAATATAATGAGCTCTAGACGGATGTAACCAATAGTTGATACAATTCCCAGAACATTTCATTACTTTGATCCTTTTTGCTTATGCAACACCCCTTCTGGTGTTTTCTAAATGGAATGAATTACAACTTTTGCTTCACCCCTGCCTGGGCTGCCACCTAACCGTGGTGGAGGGGTTTCAGTGTCTGAGGCTTTAAGCCTCTGGTAGGGTCACCCATGGCAAGCAGGTCCTAGGTGAGGGATCGGCCCAAAGACCACTGCGTTCCCTTCCCCGGATGTGGATCACCGGGGCCCTACTCTGGAGCTAGGCCTGAAGGTGGGGCACGTTGGCTAGCAGCTGGTGGCCGGGCTATCACCCACGGAGCCTGGACGAGCATAGGCTGAAGACGAGACACGGATTCCTCTTCCCATGGGCTCACAACTCGTGGGAGGGGTCAAAGGGTTCGGGTGCATTGTGTGTTGGGTGGTAGCCGAAGGCAGGTACCTTGGCGGCTACAGGATGTGGAATCCTAACCTGATGCCCAACCCAATTGAGGTGGCTCGAGCATCAGGTTAGAATGCCTTCTGGACGCCTCCCTGGAGAGGTTTTTCGGGCACTTCCAACCAGGAGGACTACTAAAGGAAGAGCTAGGGCACAATGGAGGGACTATGTCTCTCGGCTGGCCAGGGAACACTTTGGGATTTCCCCGGAGGAGCTGATCAAAGTGGCTGGGGAGAGGGAAGTCTGGGCCTCTCTTCTCACAGGCTGTTGCCCCTGTGACCTGACCCCGGATGAGCGGATGAGTCAATGGGTGATATTTTAAGTTTTTAGATTCCTTAAACAATTACAGATAATTAATAAAGGTAATTTAAAAAAAAAAGTGTTCAAAACTACTTTATTTTTCAAGATTTAAAACATTTCTTTCTATATGAACTTTAAAACGAAGCTTTCAGCAGGCCAATAAATTTGCTAATGATATTTATTTGAAACAAAGCAACCCCGCCTTTGCAACCTTTCTATTTTCTTTTACAGTGGAACAGATTAAACTATCCATCTTGGGGTGACAATGTGACCTCAGAAAAGCACACATTCCACATAATTACAGTTGTTTCTGGCCCAGAAGTCTACCAACAGGAATCCAGCTTGGAGATATTTGGCAGAGGCACTGAGGAGAGCTCTGTCTGGTTTGCTGGTGAGTGTTGGGGCTGCTGTGTGGTCTATCTGTGCCTTAACTTGAAGAGCAATCACACTCGGGCCAGATGCACGGCCACACAGAAGCACAGAGAGTAAGTCCAGCGAAACCCCAGGAGTGCTGATTAATGGCTGAAACCACAAACTGAGGGTATGATGAAAGGGACCCTCCTGTTACAGTTGGGTGCAAAGTTGTTTTTGCTTGTTTTCTGCGTCGGAAGAAGACACAGGAATCGGTTGTGGATAGTTGGCCTCAGTTGCACTCGTAAGGTCTGATCTTGAGTTGTGTGAACTGGAAACCCCACTACTATTTTTCTACTTATGTTTTAGCTGGTGTTCTGTCAGAAAGCCATACATATCAGAGCAGCTTACATGCAGTTTATGTGCATGCATGCACATGCGCATTCATATAAACTCTGCTATGCTAGAAGGAACGCCCAGTTCAGGATACAGATGGAAAAGTACAAGAAAAAGTAAGTAAAATGAGCAGATCAGAGTGTCATATTGTTATTAAAAACAAAGTGTATAATGATCTGACAGGTAAACTGGCCCATCAGGGTGTCATACGGTTGCTTAAAATAAAGCATGCTGATGAAGGTTGTCAGCCATCCAGGTCATGGTAATCCAAAATGGTTTAAATGAAGGCAACTGAACTTCTTTGGTTTCTTGAAGATGTTTTGCTTCTCATCGAGGATCTTTGTCAATTCTGATTGCTTGGAATATGGGAGAGTCAAGCTTATAAACTGTAGCCATTTATTGTTGCTGAGAAGGTATGGAGGAGGGTATTCAGAGGGAGTTTCTGCTCTTTAGGCAACAATAGTCAGCTATAGTTTATAAACTTGACCCTCCAGTTGTCTTCATTTCAGCTCTTTTGGATTAAAAATGTGTATGATGATCCGACAGGTGAACTGGTAAACAGAACACCGGTTTAATATTGTGACAGCCCAAAGCTTCAGACAGATTAGGAAAAAAAAAAAGCCACGCAAAGGATTGAAATGCCACAACGGCTTTTAAGAACAAAATGCGTTTGATAGTTTTCTACCCTACTTGGGAGATTTATGAGCCACGTGCATGAGAAGTAGAAAAAACGTGGAGAAAAGTGGAGAAAAAAGGGCATTCTGAAGTGGAGTAGCAGTGATTAGATAAGGCACAGCCTGCAGCACACGTCAGTCGGGTGAGACAGTTTGAATTTGTCCTCCCATCTTATCTTAAATAAGGCTGCGCGGATGTCCCGTGAGAAACCTCCAGGGACAAGGACGATAACAGACAAGCAGCATCTTAAGCGCGGCAGCAGGGATGCGGCATCTCAATAGCAGGAGGTCGAACAAGAGAAAGAGAAGTTCAGGCACAGAAAAAAGGAAGAGAATTGTGTTGCAGAAAGTGAGTCAAAAGAAGAAAGTCGGTGTCTGTTTCACTGGGTGTAATGGTGTTTCGACGCTTTCCAAACAACATGCGTCCACTTCCACTCCGCATTAAGTAAATGACAGGAAGTTCTGAGGAAATTGCATTCATAGTCCTCAACGGGAGCTGGGTTAGGTCAGAAATGAGAAAACAGTAATGAGCAACATGAAATATTATCAAATGAAAGGACTAGCACGATCGAGGTGTGCCCGGTAGAAATAAAGAAAAAGAGAGAAGCGATCAGAAAGGACAAATAATGACAAAAAGACTAAAATTACATTATTTAAGTTCTGAACAACTGAGAGTAAATCAGGAAGATAAAGAAAAGTAGAATTTGGGCGAGATGATAGGAACTGATCTTTCTTTAGGAAGGAAAACGTTGCCCCCTATCAGAAGATCTAACTAACTGCAGCATGCATGAGCCTCCATGCTGTTGTTGGGGAGTGGCACATGCACGTTCCACCTGTAGGCTGAACCTACATTAAAATGAAATCTAGAGGCTGTAGAACTGCAAGTTAAAAACCTTTAAAACTAAAACTTAATGAAAGAACAGAGGCCAACCTTCAGGGTGGAAAATACAAACCCGCTCTTGTCCTGCTGTGTCCCAGATCAGGAACTTGTGAAGCTCGTTTTGGTATTGCACCGTCTTGGTCATGAAAGATGCCCTGATGGGAAGAAAATGTACTATTAACACTGAATATATTTACTATTTATTAGCATATACAAGCTTGATTCCTTTCTCATTTGACTTATTTGGCACTCAGCTTTCAAAGGTTTGACTGGGGGGTTAAACCACCAAATAGTTCCTGAGCGTAGCCACTGCTGCAGCTCACCTCTAACCCTAACCCAGTTTCACCACTGTGTGATGATGACTAATGGGACTCTAACTTTAATATTTGTTCTATTACAAGCCTTTCAATCTTTAAAGCTGCAATGGCAAATTTGGAAAATAAATGAGTGTAAAACCTTTTTTTCATGGCTCTTAACAACGTTCTAAAGCCTGATTCATGCTTAAGCAAAGGCACATTTGCGCCCCCGCTGCTGCAGCGTCGTATCTCCTCTGTACTCATACTGGCCCGACCCTGCTGCAAAGAAATTCTCCGCCAAAACAACAGAGGGCGCGCTCCTATGCAGGTGTGCATACTCTTGTAGTGACGTGTCTGCCCTACTACTATTTACTATTTGCGACGCACATACACTCGCGAAAAGAGGGACGACACAGGCACAGCAAATTCTGTTATTGAGCAGGAGCTGCTTGAGCTAGAGGAACAACAACTGTTATTAGAAAGAGCACAGCGAGAACGACGAAGGAAGAGGCGTCGGTGGAGTGTCCGTCCATTGTCAACACTCACGCTGTTTACATTTTTTAAGGGAAGCTAGGTCATGCTGGAAATGATGTTGGGTTGTTTGGCTGACCAATAACAGACGTCTACCATATAACGCGGCCGTCGGATGTTTAGAAAATAGAGCTCGACTCCAACCGACGATCCAACAGTGTTGGATCGCCCATACGATGTCGCATCATGGCGATCCAACAGATCCGACATGCTGGAGCAGTGTCAGTATGAATCAGCCTTAACACTGTATAGCTATAAATATATAGCAATAAAATATACAACAAAAATAATAAATAAAGTGGGTTTCTTTAATAACCTCCACCAATAACTTGTTTTGAACCAAAAGAAACCATTGGACCATCCAGTTATCGATCTCGCGGAACCGCTGCACTTTCTTGTGTCCTCCACTCTTTACACCCTTGTGTGTTCAGCAACAGAACATCACTAGAGTGAGAGGTTCACCACTCAATAACATCAGAGAAGGAGAACAGATGGCTGCTACTGCTTCAACTTTAGGACAAACTACCAGAGTCCCAAAAAGAATAGCGCCATTTGAAGTCACAGACAACAAAATATGTTTGGATGTAGAAAACAACAACTGGTGTTTAGCAATATCTTGTTTCCTCCAGCATCACAGGTTTCTTGTTCCAGTAGAAGCGTCTTAGAGAAGATACCCAAGGGGAGGGGTGTGTGTTCTGTTACTGTGTTTGCATTTAAAACACAGCTGGTTTGCAGATTTGCCATTGCTTTAACAGTTAAAGTATGATTACAGAAAAGTTGGGGGTGGACCTCGAAAATGGCCACTGGTGTTTAGCGCGATCTCGTTTAGTCTGACATCGCGGGTTTCCGGTTCCAGCATAAGTATCTTAAATAGGGCTGGGATGATAATTAATAAATCAATTAATTTGATAGATGAAAATGAACTCAGTAATTTTTCCGGCCTCAATATATTGAGGTAAAAAAAACGTACAACTCTATTATTATTATTTATTATCATTGAAGTGCAGTTTTGGTTGTTGGCACTGGATAAGCCATTGTATTGACTGTTTTGGAGAGACAGGGTCTATTTTATTGTTATTGTTATTGTTATTTTCTAACAGAGAGTGAGAGTCCTTTTTATTCATTTAGAAGTTCTGGTTCTGGAAATTCCAATGTTAAATAAAGGTTTAATTGTTGCATTTAAAGGGTGTACTTGCATTATTATGATGTATTACATAAGTGGTTATTTTGGTCTTGATAATGTCGACAATAATATCGTTTATCATCAAAAATTTGTTGGATAATATATCATCCAGCTAAATTTTGTATCGTCCAAGGCCTAGTCCTAAAGAAGATACTCAAGTTTAGTTGTTTCTCTACTCCGACACCTAATTCAGTGGTTGAATCAGCTGCTCATCGAGCTCTGCAGAAACCTGTTAAACACCACCGAATCCAATCAGGTGTGTTTGAACAGAGAAACAACTAAAACATGCTGGATAGAGGATCTCAAGAACCAGTTTTGGGCATGCATGCTTTAATGACACATGGATTCAATGTTATTCAGCTTTTTTACTTTAAAACGGATCATTAGTGACGATTAAATCAGGAACGTTACTATAAAGTAATTACTTATGAACTCAATAACGCAGATGGAACTTACCCAATAGTTGGGTTGATGTTTGGATCAAAGTTGTCCTCCACAAATCTACAAACTATACTGGACTTTCCAACACCAGTGTCCTGCAGAGACAAAACAAGAGGATGTGGACTTAACACGAACCCATAATGAACACATTATGAGACATTTTCTACCTTTCTGCAGAAAAGATCCAACATATTTAACAGTGTGTAAAAAGGAGAACTTGCGTGCCATGTTGCTGTTGCTGTGAGCCACCAATGGCTGCAGGACAGTTTCTGTTCCTAATTTAGGATATTTTTTGGACAATGAAAGATACAAAAACTACTTGCGTGTTTTACATTGTAACTAATGCTTCATTCTTTTGATGATAAATATTTATTTTTAATGATAAAGGTATTTTATTTAGAAAAATCTCAAAAAAGATGATGCAACGTTTTCAGCAAAGCTTCCTTGAAGAGGAAAAGCTTAGCTTATTTCTCAAAAGGGTCATGAGGAGCTGGTGCATAATTCCAGCTGTCATAAAGTGAGAGGTAGGGGACAGCCCGGACAGGTTGCCAGTCCATCACAGGGACACACAGAAGCAAACAACCAAATACACACACTCACTCACACCTAGGGACAATTTAGAGTTTACAATTAACTTAAAATGTATGTTTTTGGTCTGTGGGAGGAAACTGGAGTACCTGTAAAATAAAAAGGAGCACAAATCTCCAGGTCCAAGAATTGGTATTTGGTATCGGCTGTCAAAAGCTACAATCGGTGCAACTCTAACTGACAATGCACAACAAAAGCTCAAAAATAAACCACCCAGTTCACATTTCAGACCAACAACATGAAAATATATTCTTTAATATCCTTTACATGGGGAAGGTTTGCTTTTGGATCAACTGTCATAAAACAGGAAAAAACATAAAAATGACATTGTAATTACCACTGTAACAATTTGGTTCAACAGAATTTAAAGAGCAAAGAGTCGCCTCGTTAAGTTTACCTCTTGTTAGCTGCTAACATAGCTGTAGCAACACCAGTAATGTTGGCAATTTCATTACCTTTAGAACACGTTTGTATGTCACGTAGGTTTTCTCTAATTACAAACGCTAATGATTTATTTCACCCCGCTACATTACTGCGTTAATAAAAGTGCTCTTCTTCAATGGACAAGTTTGTTACATGCACACCTCAGCAAGCCAACATCCTGACCGAGGCCATTGTGAGTGTAAGGTTATGAAGTTCATTGTTTTCAACTACATACAGCTGCCCCCTGGGCACAATAACACCGTGTAGAAAAACCAAGGTCGGGTGTTCCTCAGACTGTTTACATTCCAGGAGAAGAGTCCGAAGGAGAAGAAGAAGCTTTACTTAATCAAAGTACTTTATTTGTGATTAAAATTATTAAGCAAAACAGATGTTGATCAACAATAATCAAGTGAATGATCTGTGAAATAAATATGTCATGAATTATGTTTAATGAAACCAGGACTACGGCACAGACATACTGATCCTCATCTCCATAGAAACGCATGACACATTGTTCCAACCAATCAGAGCTTTCGGCTGCCGCAGGAGAATCTGGTGTTGACTTCAAGTGTCCAATCCACTTTACTCCAACTTATCAACAATTCAGAGATATAAAACAAGGCAACGCCATTTTAAGTCAGTTCCATCTTGACTTCAGTTCTATTCACCTCATTCGTTGGGATTACTGTCACCTGCTCTTCCCTTTTTGTGGATTACGATAAGTACTCTTTCAAAGTTCAATTTTTATTTGGAATATTACCCTGCCTGCGGATACAACAATCGATTTTTAATTGGAATACTACCCTGTTCGTGGATACGTTCAAGATTTGCTCCTGCTTTGCTTTATTGCCCGTGGGGATATGACGTTGCTGTTGCTTCGTTTATGGCTTCCATGGGGAATAATTAATAACCTGCTGACTTGTGTTCTTCCTGAGGAGTATGCGAGACTGTTCTCCGGCGTGGGGTTCGTGCCTCACCACAGATGGCTGTTCCCTTGGGATCGCATCCTGTTCTGTTGTCAAGATTCTTCATAACTTGGGTTTGTTCAACGACCAAGTGGTCTCTTGAAGGACCACATTGACCTTGAAAAGGGGGGATATGTAAGGTTATGAAGTTCATTGTTTTCAACTACATACAGCTGCCCCCTGGGCACAATAACACCGTGTAGAAAAACCAAGGTCGGGTGTTCCTCAGACTGTTTACATTCCAGGAGAAGAGTCCGAAGGAGAAGAAGAAGCTTTACTTAATCAAAGTACTTTATTTGTGATTAAAATTATTAAGCAAAACAGATGTTGATCAACAATAATCAAGTGAATGATCTGTGAAATAAATATGTCATGAATTATGTTTAATGAAACCAGGACTACGGCACAGACATACTGATCCTCATCTCCATAGAAACGCATGACACATTGTTCCAACCAATCAGAGCTTTCGGCTGCCGCAGGAGAATCTGGTGTTGACTTCAAGTGTCCAATCCACTTTACTCCAACTTATCAACAATTCAGAGATATAAAACAAGGCAACGCCATTTTAAGTCAGTTCCATCTAGACTTCAGTTCTATTCACCATCATCCTAAAGAAAAGCGCAGCCTGTCCAGATGTTTTCTTCTTTAAACTAAGAACTGTGAAACGGGAGATTTTCGTCGTTTAACAACCAGACGACGTCCTTTCAAAATAAGAGCACCTGCTGACGCCGCTGAACGGTACCGGGGTCGACCCTCCAGACAGGCTTTGAAACGTTGTGATCGCTGCATCGACAGCTCCATCGTACATTCGAGGTTTCCAGACCTGGCATTTCCTGATCTACCTGGGAGACCCCCACTGGGTACGTACACGGCAAAATAGCGGCTCATGTCATCACTTTATAAGCCTCGTGATATCTAGTCATAACAAAGACGACCAGATTCGATTACGTCAGCCTAGAGAATCTGAACCAGACACACACACACACACACACGCACCAACACAACATCCGAATCCATTCTCATCCATCACAGAGTAGTCCTGGTAGATTGTTAAGAATTTATAATTCAGAAATTAAAGATTCTCAAACGATCACATCTCTCTCTTTTCTTGTCTCAAAGTCAATACAGAGTGTTTAATTAAACTCCCTGATGATAAAAACAGCCTATTCTTCTGTTTATAAAAAGTGAACTACTAACAGTGTATTAAAATACAACTTTAGATAGTTACATCACTTTGATTCCGTTACATGAGCATGTTGGTCATGAGACTCCTGTCCATGCTGAGCGATCAAAGTTTCAAAGAGACGATAAAGCAGCTGAACCCAGAATACCACAACAACTACCTACCGGACCGATCCTATTTCACCACTATGATGGAAAAGAAGCACGAAAATCTTTTAAGAGGTGTGTGTGTGTGTGTGTGTGTGTGCGTGCGTGTCTTTGTCTCAGTTTCTCTCTGGACACAAATACAATAAACATTATAATACATTATAATACATTTTATGATCAAATAAAAAGGTTGCTGACTGAACAATCCAGAAACTAATATTTTTTAAAGCATAAAACATTTTCTTTGTGTTAAATCTTAACCTACTTTATTTGATAACAGAATTATTAATTTGGTAAATGAACTAACTTTAATATCTTTTATCTTTACAGTAAAGCAGACCCTCAGAGCTGTAGATGATCCCTGACTGCTGACGTGTGGACCAGCCGTGCTACAGAGGCGTACCTTGGTGTGTTCTGCCATTTCCTGAGATAAGCTTGGAAGATGAAGCGCTTCAACCTGGCGGCCACCATGCCTCTTGTGAACACAAGTCCTTTTTGTGTACAATTTATTTTTGGTTTTAGGTGCCTACTTCCATTTGAATGTAGCATTTGTATTTACAGGTTACATAGTTAATTAAAAAGTTGTTTGACAAGCTATCATCTTATCTTTATTATTAGATGGCACATACCTAACTGATCACACTTAAACTAGAAGTTAATGATGGATATATTGGAGCATCCTGGTGCAATATGATAATCTTTTATGAATGACATTAGTCGACTATTAAAATAGTCGTTTGTGGAAGCCCTACAGGTCACCTGCTACAAGAAACTTACTCCACTCCCACTTCATGTTTGAAAACCACAACAAACGTTGTTGCCAGGCAGACCGAGAGGGTGGAGCCACTAACAAATACACACAAACACGCTCACAACAGCATCATGACATCATAACGTACCAGCTAACATCACTGTGTACCTCTTAGCCAATAGCGGTGGCAGATTGAAATTCAAACGTAGTGCAGAGTTTTTACCTGACGACGACGCAACACTGACAATTTTAGGCAGAATATTTACATTTTAACAAAGATGCATTAAAGTGCCAAATTATTGAGTACATATGTCTACAGCAGGATTAGACACTCATTTATGTAGTTTATCAGCAAAAAAGTTGATTTGGGGTGACTTGCTTTTTAAAAACAAATGTGAGAATTTAACGTCAGAAATGCATTATTTTACTGATATGTGTAAATCAGACATTTTGTAGTAACGTGGTGACAGAGGTGTCTATCCGTGTGGTGTGGGTTCGGCAGGTCTGACACATACGGATGACCTGTAGTTTTGATGAAACAAACAGACGTTCAATAAAAGCTGCAAGCTAACTTACCCCCAGGAGACAAACTTTCAACTCTCTCAGCGCCATATCGATCTCTCAAAAGACAAGTTTAAGATGAAGACCATTGACGATTTTCACCTCTCCTCGCTGCTTTTCTTGAATATTCCTCAGGTAGTCCGTTTACACACACCTCTGTTTCATTGTAATCAAACGCTGACAGATACGCATCTCAGGTTAGTCGATGTTTTTTACAGTAAACGCTAAAAACGCCACGTAGTTTCATATATCTTTAAATGTTGTCATTTTTGTAAATAGCGACGCTTCCAGATAGCAACGTCTCCATCTTGAACTACGGCACACGGTCACGTGACCACGTCGGCTTTTATTTTTTTATTTTTGTTAGCATGAACACAAAGAAAAACCACCGGCTGCGTTCGCGCTTAGTTATGTGGAGTTTGCGTCACTTTGCGAAAAAAAATGTGTGAGTAGCTGTGCAAAAATATTAACCTGGTAAATAACAGCACCAGGAAGTGGTTTGAGGAAGTAGCCTGCTACCGTGTTTGAGTGACAGACAGCCGACACGGGACGGACGACGGCAGCCCACGGAGCCGATACTCAAGATGGCAGGTAATGGCACTTTTTAAACCTTACCTTCCTAAATAACAAAATGTTTTTAAGTACTAAAAACAGACGATTTTGTTGTTCAGCGTTAAGTCGGCATAACACCGCTAACTACTACACCACTTTTCGGGCATCCCAGAGCTAAGTAAAGGGCTGAAGAACAAACAGTGCTAGCGGATTTAGCAACACTAGCCTGGCGGCTAACGAAAGCTACTCGGGGGGTGTAGAAATAGGTAATTTCGAAAGCTAACTCACAACTTCTCGTTTTATCAATACAGATTTAAAAATCGACCAAATAGTTGATGTTTAAACGCCATTTGTGTCTGCAATTGGGTTTATTTCGATCGGCTGTCATATCGAATTGATCTAGCTAATGTTAGCCGGGTAGCTATAGTCAGTTTCAACCATAATCTGATCAAATCCTCCTTAGTACCATAACAAGGGGGATATATTGTACACTGGGGATGCCTTATTTTTCTCTGAGCGATATTTGCTCCACACAGAAAGCACTAGACTTCATGTGTCATTTCGAAGCAGGGGCTGTTTTTACATTTGGAACACATTCCTTTGCCTGCCCAGCTGTAAACACATGCTTCTCCACCGGAAACTACTTTCTGGGCTTTTAACCAGCTCATTCTACTTCTGACATCTATGTATGAGGTGTTAATGTGAAACCTCTCTTGCATTGATGATTAAACGGGTACTTTTCACGGGAGCGACCTTTTCGAGATGGAAGTAGCTCCGTCAGCAATAGTTATAAATGAAACTATAATTGACCATATCCTCTACAGCAGAATGCATATCGGACTAAAATACAGATTATATCATGATCATCAAAATGTTTGTTGGTTGTTTTGGATTACAGTAGTATTATTGAAACTAGATTATCATCAAATTTACTTAGAAAACTTGTAAGTTAAGTTATTGGGGGGGGGGGGGGGGGTATTGGAAAATAAGACTCTTAACCAACTTGTTATTGTAAATAAGGATTAAACTGGCACATTTTGTTGTGACTGTAAAAACTAAAACATCTTAGTTAACTCATTGTTAATTGTAGAACCTGCTCAGAATTAAGTATATCATCAGACACTCTGAATTAGGATTTGATTGATATTCATAAATTATGTCAATTTGCATTCAATCCTTGACCAGGCATTCACAAAACAACCAGTTACGTATTTAAAACATTAAAGATTTTCCTTATACTTTTTTAACCATAGACTTTATGACAGTGGTGTCCTGGCCGTCACACGTCTTTATCCTACATGCGTGAGTTTTATTCTTCTCCAACACACTTGATTCAGTCATTGAATTATGTTTTGGGCGTGTCCTCAAGTTCCACAGATGCCTGTTTAATTATTCAAAACAGATGTGTTGTAGCACAGATTTGATAAAATTGAAGCTGTGTTGAAATCTTGTTTGGTTGTCAGATGAAAGAACGAAAGACAACCACACCAGCTGGTTGGCTTCGCCTGGTGTGCATCAGGATACAACCATTACAGCTTCTGCCAATATTAATTTTTAAACTATTATGCTAACTATTACTCTGACAAGAGCCTCTGATGCAACCGTGGCTGCTTTATTATTATTATTTTTACAGTTTTTTAAAAGATTGAAGACTATACTGTAGAGACAACGTTTACACTAACGCAACACAACACCCTAGCTTTAGTCATCAGTCATTTCATAAGCACTCGATCACTATCATTCCATCCAGTTTTCTGGATGTAGAGAAACATCTTTTTCATCCCCTGGGTAATAAACGCATCGGCGCGTACCAAGTTCTCCTTTTACCTCACAGCCTCTGTTTTAAAGATGTGGTTTCGGAGCACAAGACTCTGCTTTAGAGTGATTAATCAGCTTGAGCCCAATGATTTGTTGCCCTAACTCACTTATTGCCAGGCAGTAAAACTGCCATCCCCTGGCTCCTTTCATTTTGTAGTGATTGTTCATTCTCTCTCCATTCATGGTTTTTCATTTTCAGGATTTCAAAAAATGTAAACTTCAAACAAAATTACACATTTTTCAGTGAAAAAGGAGCATTAAAGTTTTGTTCCATATATCACAGCTGAAATACAAACAACTGCCAAAAACACTAAATAAGTGTTTTAAAGGTGTGGTAGACTGAAAAAAAATTTTTTTTGTTATTATTTCTGATTATAATCGGTCAATCTGAGTTTTGCAGACAGAACATGAAAATATTCTCCTACATCTATCCTGCATTAACCTCTGATAAAAAATAGATGGTGAAACTTTAGGATCTGAAAAGCCTGGCTGATCTACGTCACTCTGTCACCAAACATTCATAAACTCGCCCATCTTGACTCGTGACTTGGAAGCCTGTTGTTGGATTAGCATCCAGAAAACGTCTCAGCTAGTAGAAGCTAACTTATAACATTAGCAACTCCACAACACAGCAGAACTCCTCCAGGCTTGTGCTATTTGTGGAGATAAAACATCAATTTTGCGAGTCAGTGGTAGAGTTGCATTGCTGTCAGAGGAGAGATGTCCAAATATCAGAAATTAAGAGACCAAATTCTGTTGTGTTCCTCAACTATCTCCTCCAGCTTACTCCTCTATGCTAATACAGGTGCTTCTGGGTTTTTTTTCCCCCTGATTACGACTTACAAGGCTTTCATTCCTCCCAGAGACCACTGCAAACGTATTGATTAAATGAGTGTTCAACACCTTTAACAGTATTTGTTATGTCAACAGCATGTTTGCTACGATGGAATTTTGTTTTCTGTATCATTGCAGGCCTATCTTTATACTTTGAAGATGGCCATGATGATATGGATGATTGTAAGTACTAAAACCATGTTATATAAATTTGTGTTCAAAGGCTTGTTTTCAGCACTTTTAAGAAATTTTGTTTGGTAAGGAACTGTTTTGAATAACTTGGTGACATCAAACTCTGGTTTTTTTGTTTTAACTCCAGTAGGATCAGCATGACAACACAATGAAAATGTGCAGGATTGCAGGTGTAAACACATCCATTTCTTACTCCCACAGTTGGATTTGACGATTATTCTTCAGAGTGTGATGGCATTCGCATCACAGCTTTCCTCGATGCTGGACAAGACAACCTAACTCCTCTTGGGAGGCTAGAAAAGTATGCGTTCAGCGACAACACCTTCAACAGGTAAGTGGGGTCCTGTAGACCAGATTCAGCATCAGACAGGCTCACGTTCCTGCGGCTCATTGTTGTTTGAAGTCGAATGTCACAATTGAGTCGATTAATACCAAACTCTATTCTGTCGTCATTCACACAAAAAAATATTTAAATCTAAGTTCTCTTTAGTTTATTTTCTTTTTGATGCTGGATGTGTTTATGTTGCTCACTATCAGAGACTGATGATGGCAGCTCAGTCATTTAGGATCTTATGTAATTAATATGTCTATAGTGCTGTTGTTATTTCAACAATGACTGTTGAAAGCACCATTCAACACTTTCCAGATCTATGAATGAATTATCTGTAAATTCCATCGACATATTCCTGGAGTTTGGTCATTTAAATCCGTAGAAAGGTTTACAAAGTAAATGCATATATAAATATTCTGTAAGGAGAGTGAACGCAAACTTGTTTTTAGTATTTATATTTATTATTTTATAAGTTGTGTTGCCGTTGACATTTAACTAATAATAACTGTGCATTATTTTGTTTTTACAAATGTCTGAACCGCTGCAGGAATGTCAGGAGAATGTCTGGATATTGGCCTGGAAAAAAACACTCAATTGCTCCTTTGTTTTGAGAGTGTGTGGGGATTTGTGTAGAGTTCTACTTTTTTTCTTAATGTGCTACCATCTGCCTGAAAAATACTGCATCCTCGTGAATAACCCAAGTGCATTTAAAGTCCTCGGTTTGTATTTTATGTGCACCTTCAAAAACCAACTTCAGCTTATCTGGATGCTTTTCACAGTCAGGCTTGCAGGGTTCAAGCGCTCTTGTTATTTTCGAGTAGACGTGTGTAATGCACTTGGCGGCTCTGTCATTGCTGCGCGTTACGCTGTGTGTACTTGACATTCGTAGTCACTGGCAGGCCTTCCACTAACTGAAGCTTTTGCTCTCTAGGCAGATTGTGGCTCGTGGCCTGCTTGATGTGCTTCGAGAGTTCAGTGACAATGAAAATGACTTTATCAGTGTCATGGAGACAGTTGCCAGAATGTCAGAAGATGCAGGTAGATTTTGTTTTTTATTTTCTTTGTCTGTTTGCCTGGCACAGGCCTCGACTTTTATAGGTTTAAATTCACTGTGATGCATGTGCGCAGATCCCACAGTTCGAGCCGAGCTGATGGAGCAGGTTCCTAACATCGCCATGTTTTTGCACGAGAGTCGGCCCAACTTCCCGGCCGCTTTCTCAAGATACTTGGTGCCGATTGTTGTCCGGTATCTCACTGACCCAAATAACCAGGTAGGTTTCATAAATATGATGTTAAGCACTCGCTGGTGGGAACATGGAGGATCTAGTGTCTTGGTCTTCATCTACCACCCTCTTTACTTTTACAGGTGCGAAAGACGAGTCAGGCAGCGCTGCTTGTTCTGCTAGAACAGGGCCTCATCTGTAAAGCAGACATGGAGACCAAAGTTTGTCCAGTTCTACTTGACCTGACGGAACCGAGCAGTGATGATGACTATAAAATAGAAGCAGTTGCTGTAAGAAACCCTACGACTTTAAATGCTCATAGTTGTCAGCTATTACACCCAAGAATGTAGCTCTTCATTTCCAAACTCAGATGATTCATTGAGATGTTTCTGCTGAATTAAACATGTTGTTTCCCGTTTAACAGATCATGTGCAAAGTAGTCACCATGTTGAGCAAAGACACGGTGGAGCATCTGCTGCTGCCACGTTTCTGTGACCTGTGCAGCGACGCTAGACTTTTCCAAGTGCGAAAGGTAAGAACTGCCAAATGACAGTTGTGTTGAGATGTCACGAGAAATCTGAAAAGGCTTAAGGCTGCAGGGAAAGCAGAGACGACAGTGATGAGGTCTATTTGTTCCCTTTGCTTAAATTCAATCACTGTGAGTCAACCTCAGTTCTGTTTAATGCGCCAGCTTTAACACTGAACTAGGGATGTCCGATATTTTCAGTCTACCGATATTGGCCTTAAAATGTAATATTGGAAAATATCAGCATCTGTTTTTACTCCTTTAGTGACCCAACGTTTACGTAGGGTTGCTCGATTATGGCAAAAATAATCATCACGATTATGGTGACTGAAATTGAGATCTCGATTATTTAGGACGATTTTTCAATTTATGTTGATTTTATTTGTTTTTATTCAGTCATAAAATTGCTCAGGGCACAATCGGGACAAACATAAGAAACAAGATGATCACTAAAATAACTCCTGATTCCCAGTATAAAAAGACCCATATACTTATAGCTCATAGTCTATGACCCAAGGGCTATAGACCTTGGTTTAACTCATTTAAGTCTAACCAGTACAGACCCAAATACCAATATCTTGCAAATACTGACAGCAAGAATTATACAGTGGCATTTATAACAAATAAATGCAAATAAATTGATGATCACAAAATGTTGCTTAACATTTATTGAGTCGTGTCAAGGTGCTGTAGGAGCGTGCACTTGCTCCGTGTCCTCAGAGAGATTAGTAATTATCAGCGTGAGGAACTTATTTCTACCTTATTTATAAACTGTTTATTTACAGGTCCATCAGTTAATGTAAATTGTCCCAACCACAGCTGCACCCCCCACCCCCCAACCCGGTCTCACAGCAATCAGGGCAAGCTGCACGTGTGTTTAGCGCGCCGCACTCGCACATTTAGCCGTTTTTAGTGGCTCAGGAGTCCGCAGGTGCGGTGTGTGTGTCACTCACTCTGGTTGATCCAACAAGGAGCCGGCTCCGAGAGCTGTCTTTAGCGACTAACGCATCACTACGTCATTCCCTTTCCTAATGTCCTGAAGAACGGTCCGGAGCGCAGGCGGAGTGTTTAGCTAACCTGCAGGAAATGTCGACGACAGTTATCCAGAAAGTAGCTAAGGGTTACCAGAGATGTTTCTGAGGTGTTCGCTAGGTACTTTTAAGTTAAAAAGTTAAGAAGGGGTCTGAAAAGCTGCTAGAAATAGCGTCAAAGTCACTAAGTTGGCAACATTGTGGAGGAGCGCTTCATTTGCAACTCAGGGCAGCGCAAGCGGGAGGAGCAAGTAATCGGCTTGTTTTGTTTTTTATAATCGTTCAAAACTCAGATCGTAATCGTGACTAAAATTCGATTAATTGAGCAGCCCTACGTTTACATACCGTACACATTTTATACATCTAACTCATCTGCTTCATCTCCTCTCACTCAAAATGCCTAAATAGGACAGATCTGAGGTTTAGTATTTGAGATATTTTAGGTCATTTTTATTTTTTGGTACATTTTTAGAATGATTAGGCATTTGCTATGTGTAGTAGGGATCTTCCACATAGCTATGTGTAGCCAGCTAGCAAAACAATTAAAACAAGCACAAGAATCTTCACCCAAGGTTTGCTTATCTTAAAAGAAGACTTTTCAGCCCCCAACAAGTTCATAAGCTCTAAGAAGGTTTCCAATTGTAAACATGCTTCATGTTTGTGTTGTAGGTGTGTGCAACAAACTTTGGAGAAATTTGCTCTATTGTTGGTCAAGAGAGCACAGAAAAACTACTGGTGAGGGACTTGTTTTGTTCCTTTAATTCATACTTTATTTTTAACATGAATGCAGCCTGTTTATGATGTTAGTCTGTGCATTGAGCAGCTTTGTTGGTGTTGTGAGGTCACCATGGTGTAATGAAAGTTCAACAGAGTCTCTGTTGTTCTGCTGCTCTCTGCCCTTCAAACACTCACATTGTTTTGGTTTTGCATTCACCACAGATGTCCAAGTTCTTCAACCTGTGCTCAGATTCCCTCTGGGGCATCAGGAAAGCATGCGCTGAGTGCTTCATGACAGTCTCCAACTCCACCTCTCCAGAGGTGCGACGCTCAAAGTTGTCCCCCCTGTTCATCAACCTCATCAGCGATCAGTCTCGTTGGGTAAGACGACCAGGAACGAATTCAGTTCAAATGACTAGTTTCTTTAGGAAGGAAATACGGGCGGATGCTGCTTCGAGTTGTTTCTCATTTTGAATGTTTTACCCCCAAAAAATGAAAACGGTTCTGGATTTGATTTCTTTAAATGTGTTCAGTGATGGAACCTAAAACCACTTCCTGCTTGTTGTAAACTAGGAATTTCTGCAATTCATTATCAATCCTCGTTTTCTTGAAGTTCTTTATGATGTTTAAGACTCTTTTCAGTTTGTTCTGATGTGCGTGCACACCAAGAGTTTTCTCAGAGATGCAGTCAGGAGCTTATTTCGATTAAATCTGCTCTCTACACATTGTTGTTGACTAATTCAATAAGGGATGAACAGAGGGACTTCGCTCTTTATTTGCTTTCAGGTGCGACAAGCTGCCTTTCAGTCTTTGGGTCGATTCATCTCCACCTTTGCCAGCCCCTCTAGCACAGGACTTCACTTTAGAGAGGACGGCGCCCTCCCAGAGGTCCCCAGGTGTACAACAGACAGGCAAGATCACCTCCGTTTTGTCAAAGCAGTTGTGAACATCAGCAAAGATAAAATTTCTTTGTTCCTGTACGTTGTTTTAAGGCCAGTTTTATACCAGACCTGAGTTTGAGGATTCGTTTTTTTTAATTGATCATAATCTGGGTCATTGAGTACGGCTTAACCGACAGCGTTTGAAAAAAGAACGTTTAACCAAATAGATGACTCACGTGTTTTACATTTTTGTGTCTTCAGTAACTGTCCTCTAAACCCTCTGAACTGCTCCGACATCAGCGGCTGCCTCAAAGACAGAACCATCACCCACACACCCCCCAATCAGGACGGCCGTGCCACCCCCTCACCGGAGCACGTCCCTTCTGCAGATGGCGAGGACGTGGACAGCTTCGAGGAGAACCGCTCTCCTGTTCCCGTAAACAGACCGGATGGCTTCACTCTCACAAACAGCAGCGACGGCCCCACAGCCACCAACAACATCAAGAACACAAAAGAACACGAGCAGACAGACGAGAACTTTAATTCCTTCAACTATTGGAGGCCTCCTTTACCCGACATCAGCGAGGAGCTGGAGATGCTAAATTGTGAGAAATCGGAGGAAGTCACAGAAAAGGAGGAAACGGAAGAGGAGGAGCACCAGGAAAGTAGTTCAGATTCTAAACCCAGCCCCGGAAAAGCTACCAGCGATCAAATCCAAAAGGTCTTGGACTGTTTGACGCCTCACATTGCTGATCCCGATGTACAAGGTGGGTAGATAGGAATGGAGATTTTACTGGTGTGTAGATTTAACTGAGTGTGTATTTCACCTCCAGTTCAAGTCCAAGTCTTGTCAGCAGCTCTGAAGGCGGCCCAGCTCGACAGCCCGTCTGACGGCAGCCCGACAGAAACCAGCCCTACCGAGGAGCCGCCTGAAGACAGCCCTGAGGGCCTATCAGGGGACGGCATTTCTATTGATCTACAGCCGGAGATGGAGGACGCTAGCACAGACCAAGAAGAAACAATGGAAATTTCTCCAGCTGCAGAAACGTGTCCGGTCCAGGAGCAAGAAAATGAAGAGACTCAAACTGAACCTCTGGAGAAGCAGGAGGAGTCTCCACCCAACTCTCCTGTTCTGGGGCCTCAGATACTACGGGTACATATCCATAAAAACATGGCCATGAAATGATCGTGGAGACGTGCGCAGCCTCACTAACTATGGCAGGAGCACATGCACATCTACGGTTATCATTCTTAGGGAAACTGGTAAAGGTGTAGAAACTATTATACACCACAGACGCATCCATTTGTGCACAGTTGCATAATATATTTAATCAAATGCAATATAAAGCAGAGAACAACTTCAACAACAGCAGAGGATGTTCTGGCCCCAAACCATGATTGTCAGCTGCTTTAGGTTTCCAAGGGCGACCCTGTTTTAACGGCTCAGAGCTGCATCGCAGTGTTTATTATTTTTTCTGTTGATTAGATTAGATTTTTCATGCAATAGTTTGGAGTCTGTGGCAGCTTTGTTAAACCGTTTGTTAAAACTATTTTAGTTGTTTTCATGGATGATTTGAGATATTTGTGGTTTTCGCTTGTACTTTCCTGCTCTTTTACGTTTTTGTGGGTTCTCATTTTCCTCAGGAGTCTAGCTTAATTGAAAATGTGGAGGAGGAGGAAAAGGACGCCTGTCTTCACAGCCCAACGTCAGAGGATAAGCCCAAAATCCAGGTCGGTCATGATAAACGAATCCCACGATCATTATGGATTAGGGTTGTCACGGTATGAAAATTTAACCTCACGGTTATTGTGACCAAAATTATCACGGTTTTCGGTATTATCGCGGTATTTTTTAAACGGTGTTGCATATGTTCAGAAAGCATTGATAGTCCTGTTCTACACAAACTGAAATAGTTTTGAAAAGGTTTAACAGTGTTTATTAAACCTAAAATAACACAAAGCCTTAGCAAAAGTGCAACTTTTCACAAGTAAAGGAACAAATATCTTCTTTTTCTGGAACGTGTTACAGTAGTCAGTGCAGGTTTAAATTATACAAATCCAAACATTCGAAACATAAACAATATGTAAACAAATCAAAGAAACACCACTTGTTTTCTCATATACTTGTTTTCTTCATTATCAAAATGAAAATCTAAAACTCCAGTCCACACTTGACTTGAGCACTGTACAAGTCAACCTTAAAAAATATGTATTTAAAATAAATAGCCACTTTAAACAAATTACTAAAATAACTACTACACTATGTAATCAAATCCAAATGTTCAAGTATAAATGGCATTGAACAAGTAAACAAATCAATGACAAGGAACTAATTGTATATTTCTCTTCATCATCAACAAATAAGATGCTTCATCCAGCAACAGGGTGTCCGTGACACGGTTTAAATGCTGGCAGAGGACGCTGCGGCTGCAGTATATAGTGACTCGTTGCATTCTCCCTCAGCCAAAAGTCCTCGCGTCATGCATTTAAGCTAAAATGCTAATGTTAACTTACCTTGCACTGGCTGTGGAGACGTGGGTGATGGTCACGCAGATGTGCCATGAGATTTGAAGTGTTGCTGCCTTCTGCAGACACTTGTTTCCTGCACGTTCTGCAAACGGGATAGCCGTCTTCTATTAACTGTCCCTCAGCATTTTTCAGAAATCCAAAATATGCCCATACTTCCGATTTAGTCTTCTTTGAGGGCTGATGGATGTCCTGGGCGCTGCCGTCTCCTCCTTCGGCCATTATTTCAGCTTCAAAGTTTTGGTGCCGTTGCAAACTAAAAAGTGCGTGTGCGCGCCGCGGGAACTTCAGCTGAAGCGACGGTGGCTGGTAAGGGTCACCGCGCTGAAACCGCGGCCACGGTAAACCCACCGAGATAATATAGTTTTTTAAAAACTGGACGGTTATTTTTATTGTCAACTTTTTTACCGGGGTTTACCGCTATACCGGTTACCGTGACAACCCTATTATGGATTCCTCGTGTTTAATCATCTAACTTGGACTTCCTGTCTGCAGAATGTCATCCCTCAGCAGCTGTTGGATCAGTACCTCTCTATGACGGACCCCGCCCGGGCCCAGACGGTGGACACGGAGATAGCCAAACACTGTGCCTTCAGCCTTCCGGGTGTGGCGCTCACTCTGGGCCGACAGAATTGGCACTGCCTAAAGGACACATATGAAACCCTCGCCACGGACGTGCAGGTAGGTATCAGGAAATCACAAGTGTAATGATGTCTGGTGTTTGGGCCTTTGTAGCTTTGAAGCTCATCAGAAACCTGGATCTGTAGTGGTTCATGCTTAAGGTCACCACAGACACTCCACTTTGTGTTGGATTATTAGCACTGGCTTTATGGTTTTAATTCCCCACATTTTCCCTCTCAGTGGAAGGTGCGGCGAACGTTGGCTTTCTCCATCCATGAGCTGGCGGTTATCCTGGGGGACCAGCTGACTGCAGCTGATCTGGTTCCCATCTTCAACGGCTTCCTCAAAGACCTAGATGAGGTTCGCATCGGCGTGCTCAAGCACCTGTACGACTTCCTGAAGGTAAGATCTCCACTGCGCCATAACGAGAGCAAACCTGCCAACCTGTACGCATTTTGCGTAGCCAGTATGCAATTTGGCATCTATTTACGCTGGTACGACTCACCCATTTAAACTACGCACAAAGCTGCGGATACGTGAGTTGAGTTCTGTGGCAAATATGTACGTGTGGTACTCATGTCTGACAACACGACTCAGTGGCGTGGTGGAGAAGTTTAAGCCAATCATCGTAGAAAAGCAGAGAAAACCTATCCTGCCTAACCAGTAGCCTAAAACCCCCCTCCTCCCTGCCTCGTTCCTCCTCTCTCCCACTGGTTCGCCACTCGCTGCTGTTCTGGTAAGGTAAAGTGTGTGTGTGCGTGTGTGTGTGTGTGAAATTTTCCATCCAGTGAATGGGGAGATTACAGCGTGAAAAGCAATGGAGTTGTAAAAGTCTGCGAAAAACGCCGCACAGGTGGTACTCAAAAAATGTTTGACAAGGTTGGCAGGTCTGCGAGAGAGGAGGTTGTTTGCTGTTGATAACGGAGCAGGTTTGTGTCGCAGCTGCTGCACGCAGACAAAAGGAGAGAGTATCTGTACCAGCTGCAGGAGTTCATGGTGACGGACAACAGTCGAAACTGGAGATTCAGATATGAGCTGGCAGAGTAAGTGTCTCTGAGGGAGAGAGGATCTTCACTAGGAGTGGACAGATATATCAGTCGGCCGGTATGTCCCCGTGCATTCACCGTGTGTCTCACTGGCTTTGTCCTCTAGGCAGCTGATCTTGATCATTGAGCTGTACAGCCACTACGATGTGTATGACTACCTCAGACAGATCGCCCTCACCCTCTGCTCTGACAAGGTCTCAGAGGTCAGGTGGATCTCCTACAAACTGGTACGTTTTACTGCCGGCTGCGCAAACTGACCTGTGGAGGAAAAATGCAAGCAGCTTGTGAACTTTTGCCCAACAGAATTAGGTTCTAAATACTGGTGTTTGTTTTTAATGAAACCGTGTAAATGAACACTGTGTAGATGGAGCGAGTGTGTCATCACTTCCTCTGCTCTCAGGTGGTGGAGATCCTCCAGAAACTTTATGCATGTGGTGCTGACGACCTTGGCCTGAATTTCATCAACGAGCTCACCGTCAGGTTTTGCCACTGTCCCAAGTGGGTGGGGAGGCAGGCCTTTGCTTTCATCTGCCAGGTCTGTGGATCTAATGGGAGAAGTGGGGAAGCACCATTTTCTCTGACTGATCTGACAAATGTTCTCCTGTGGTTACAATAGTTGACCCCCCCCCTCCACTAGTTGTCTGAGTTTGATGGTTTTGTGGTTCTCCCTGCAGGCCGTGGTTGAGGAGGACTGCATGCCCATGGAGCAGTTCAGCCAGCATCTGTTGCCCAGCCTCCTCAGCCTCTCCTCTGATCCGGTGGCTAACGTCCGAGTTTTGGTGGCCAAGGCTTTACGACAGAGCGTCATGGAGAAAGGTGATCTATAAATAGACCCGGTGTGGGACATGCAGCTTGTAAAACATCCTCAGCTCAGAATTGCACAAGCAAAAGAGGATAATGTTTGTTACGAAGTTCCCGTTTGCTTCCTTCCAGCTTACTTCAAGGAGCCGGGCTGTGCCTACTCCGACGAGCTTGAAGAGACAGTGATGACTCTGCAGTCTGACAAGGACCGCGACGTGAGGTTCTTTGCCAGCTTGGACCCAAACAAAGGCTTAATGGACACGACTCCTTTGATTTAGCCTCGCCGCCTAAAACCCCATCACAGCTCACCTGCCTGTCTTACCTGTCTGACTGACTGATGCACAGTCAGCTTAACCTTCGACACCAGCACCCAACCAGACCCACTCCAACCCCTCGCCTTCCAGACAGACCCCCCCCCCCCCCCACCTCTTTGGGAATCATGCCAGAAGTTTGTTTTTAAGCATTTTCCTGCAACACACCCCCCGTCTCTGGTTGGGCAACACAAAGCGCACATTAATACAACAGAAACAAGCAATTTTTCTACAAAGTTAACGGAACACGAGCTCGACTCTGATGGCTGCCTTAGCTCAGACCGATCTCTGCCCCCCGCCCTCCAACTAACACCCACCCCGCCACAGACTTGCTCTCCAAAGCTCATACTAAGCTTGGTAATGGATATTAAAAGATATTTTTTCTTAATTCTTCTTTTTTGTGGGTTTCTTAACAAACAAAGCCTGACTAGGCACGTACACTAACTCAGGGGGACTCCAAACCTAAACAGCATTATTAAGCTCACACTGCTGGAGCCAGCGTGGAGAAAAAATCAGACCAGCCAAAAACGAGTAGCTCTGCTGGTCACTCGTCTCTGAGACATGTTGTCGTCTGAGACGTCCTCTTGTCTTTTCCCCTCACCTGATCTTTATGGGCCACACACAAAAAAACTCCACTGCTGCTGCACAGTAAGAACGATGATTCTGTTACTCTTTGATGTTTTGAAACCTAACAAACTTTTGCTTCCCCCGTCTGTGTCTGATAACCCAAAACAATGTGACGCAGTGCGTCTCCCAGGTGACGGGAGACTGATAAAATACCTCTGTTTGGACATGACCGGCCAGTGCGTCGCACACGTGGAGAGACAACTGTGATCACACAGGCTCTGAATGTCCTCAGACGGTGACTTTTTAAAGCTTTTTTTTTTGGTTGTTATTTTCTGACATGATTCTGTGGTGTTTGGGAAGAAAAAAACACAAGGGCTCATGATGAACTGACACAGGGTGATTCCAAACTCTGAGAGGAGGAAGAAAGCAAGCACACTGTTGGATAATGCATGTTCCCCCTCCATCCCTACTGCTGTGTATCGTTTCTACCACTTCTTTAATGTTGATATCATTCTGTCACATCGTGGCCACGGGTGCTTTCAGTGGATCTGGCTGACCATTTGTACAGTAGAACATAGTAGGGGCTGTTGGGAGGCTGAAAGATTCCCCGTCTTGGTGGAACAGCTTTGAGTATAAATCAGATTTGTTTCACTTTTTTGTATAGCTTAAACCTGTGGAGAGGAAAAAAAGTGTGTTAATGAATAAGGCCAGTTGTGTGTGTGTGTGTGTGTGTGAGTGTGAGAATACTGGGAGCTGTCACCAAGTCACTTTTGTTTCTCTAGTCTCAAGCTCATTTGTTGTAAATGCCCCCCTCCCCCCCCCCCCTTTTTTTTGTCCTCCCCTCTCATGAGCATAATTTGAGGACGTGAGCTGATTGTGGTGTGTGCTGCTGTGCATCTCAAGTCTTTCTTCCTTGGAAAGGAGAGCTCGCCGCAGTAATGGCTCATCTCGTCTGTCTGCAATGTGTGTCCATCTCATTTTTTATGTAGTAGAACAGTTAATATATACATTTTATGGATTTTTTTTTCTTTTTCAATTATGCACCACAGCTCAAAGATTTTATATCCTAACTTTACAAAATTTGCAATCTTTGTAATATTCAATGGTTTCTTTTAATAAGACATTTTATGTAATGTTATTTTTAGTATTCTGTAATTAAAATGATGGAAATAAGTGTGTGCGATGTTTCATCTGGTGGTGATGAAGCTGTTGGGTTCAGATAACTTTAGTTAAGATGTCAAAAAAGAAAAACATAAAATACAAATTACGTGTTTCTAAAAACAAACAAATTTTCTATATTTTCATCTTGTAGACCTAGTATAAAAGGAAAATGTGTCCTGAATGATACTCAGGAACTCCAGCATGTTTTACTGTGTGACAAGCCCTGGTTTTTAATAGACAAAAATGGATGCTAAATACACTGCAGCCAGCAGCAGCTGTCCCATCTAAGAAAGATTTACTACACTCTGGCTACAAATTTCTCAGAATGTTGTCAAAAAGACAATTTAATACGTGAAAAATAATCTTTATGGGAGATTTTACATGTCAAATTTTAAATATAAGCATTTTAAGAATGTCATACATGTTTAGATTTTCAAGTCGGATTCAAAAGAAAGAAAAACATGGATTTTTGTGTTTATAGTGTTTACAGTAAGTGGAGGTGGGGGTTTATGCTCCCCCTCCTCTGAGCATGTTGCCTTAGTTGCTGTGGAAGACGTGATGCTGCCGAGGCAGACGGCTCCTCTGATGGCATTTCCTTGCCTTACCTTGGCTCATCTGGACTCAGGCAAATATAAATTTTTACGTGTGTGTGTGTGTGTGTGTGTGTTTGCATGTGTCTGTTAATGTTTTTAAACTGTTATGGGGATTTGGGGTTGTTTTGTTAAGCTCTTTGAGTAGCACTTTGTTTGAAAAGTGCTTTATAAATCAAATCTGATTGATTGATTGATTGATTGATTGAAGCCTCCTCCCAGGTACCCACTCAGGAACTAATCTGTACCTACTAGGTACTTAACCATTACCTACTGCTTTTGTCTACCTTAAAGTGATGCCTCCTCCCAAGTACCTACTGAGGAACAAATATATACTTAATCAATACTTAACCATTATGTTGCTACTTGGCCATTTACCATAAACACATTGAGCTTATTTACACAGCAGCTAAATATTTCTGCAGGATAACACAAATGACCTTCAGCGCACGACGCAATGCAATGCTAAGTGTGAAAACAAATAAGAACGGGTTGGGCTGGGTGGTGGGTTTAAATGCCTCCCAAGAGCAGGACTCGAGTTTCCTGCTATCCTCTAAATAACGTGTTGCTAGACACCTGCAGAGGTGAGGTCTCCACCTCATTAAACAAAGTCTAGAAACCTCCCCTCCCCATGATTCTCCAGCCCAATCCCCTCGGCTCCCTCCAAGTCTCACAGAGGTGTCGGTTTTCAGATTCTGTCTGACTCATTGATGGTGATGATGGCAGCACGCTAATGCAGACGATGATTAAATATCTATAGGATAGAGCGGAGGAGGTGATACACAATCAGAGGACAACTCTTCAGTTCTGCATCAAAACAAGGTTCATGACCTGAGTGCCCCACCCCCCACCCCCTCACACACACACTCACAGCCAACAGCATCTGCTGACTACAATCTCACTCGCTGAGATGTATTCAATTTTAATCCATATACCAGAAAAGTCCAACAAAAGTAGATATAATCCTGTATGCAATCCTTTATTTTACCAGGTAAAATCTAATTTTCTATATTTTCACCTTGTAGCCCTAGTATAAAAGGGAAATATGTCCTGAATGATAAACTCAGGAATTGAAATGTTGGACTGTTTTATCTCCAATCCACCAATCCTCTCACATTTGTTTTCAAAAACATTTATTTAAATTTAATCTTAATCTCACTTATTCTACAAATCAACTGTTAAATCTTGGTTTTGTTTTGACTGAGAGAATCTACAGGAATAAAATGATAATCGTGCTGTGGATTAGCAGATCTGACTGTTTACTAAACAAAGATATAAATAGATTTTTGGTGGCAAAATGGCTAAAAATGAAACTGAATTCCATTTAAATATTTTCATCTCTTGATGTGAGGGAGTGGTGAGATTTGCAGATGTTTGCGGCGGGTTTGGATGACTCTTGGTTTTATTTGCATCTCCAGAGATGAGTCCTGTAAGGTGACGTGTGCTGAGATAAACATCTGTAGTGTTTGCTGCTGATGGAACTCAGATTTCCTTTTCTGCAGGAATTACAGTAATCAAGCTGAATAATAAAAGCATGAATTACTGTTTCAAAATCCTTTTTTGACAGCAAGCTTTTGGAGATCCTTCTTAATTGATAAAAACTAGATTTAGTCACAGCACTGATCTGCCTGTGCAAAACAAGATCCCTATCCAGTACAACACCCAGGGAAGTCACACTCCGTTTCAAGAATGGGTCGAGCTGACCAAGGTCCACTGCACCCACCCTAGACAAAGTACTTGGACAAAAAACTAAAACCTCTGTCCTTTTATCATTAAAAAGAAGGAAGTTAGAGAACATCCATTGCCTAACCTCAATGAGACAATCTAAAAGAGACTGCAAAGCATGATGGTGGCCGCTCTTAAAAGGGTGTGAGTTTCATGTCTGTTGCCACTTATGGATCAGCACCACAAGGGGTGTGTGTGTGTGTGCGCGTGCGCGTGCGTCTTAAGTTAACCTTATAAGGTTAACTTAAGACATTATAAAAATGACAAAAAGACAGCATTCAGTGGTATTGTTTTGCTACGTTGCCTGTTACAAATACAACACAGTTTCATTCAAGCCACAAAGTGAGATTTTCTCTGATTTTATGCCTTAATTGTAGTTTAGGTTTAACTTCACTTATTACTTATTTGTTTTTTTTACTTTTCAGCAGCCACCAGCCACCATGGCTAGCAGTAGCTCCTCTGAGCCTCTGAGAGTAAAAGCAGAGCTATGGAATGGGATGAAGATAATGGTCAACACCCCATATCCTTTCCTTACTGAGAGAAGTAACTTTGGCTGAGAAGATCAGCTGGGGTTGCTTTTTGTTATTTATTTATTGTTTCTCATTCACAAACTTTCTCATTTCACAACTGGAAGCTTTAGAATTCCATGCTTCCAGGAAGCTGGTACTGGACGAGCGTGAAACTTTTCTTCTTTTAGATGAGGAAGCTTCATAAATGAGACAGGACATGTCTTTGTGACAGAACTGAATGTTTAGGTACCTCTGGTGGGTTGTAATCTGTTTAATCTGTGTCTGTAATCTGTATTTGGATTATCTGAACATGTTTTGGCCTTAACCTTTTCCACGTTTTGGGACCTGCTCAAGGTGCTTGTAATCCTTACTAGCATTGCGAGCGTGAGTATGTACAGTCCCATCGGTGAGGAGCCCCAGCACCTGAGGGTACGTGCGAGCCCTGACATATTCCCCACATCTGTTTAAGCTGTTTTATTATACTCCTGCTGTTTTTAACCATGTCTCCTCAGGTCATCAACATCGGCTGCATCTGCTTCTTCATTTTTGACATGGTCCTGAAGATGGCGTCGCTGGGCATCTGGGGGGAGCGGGGTCACCTTCGTAGCTTCTGGAACCGGGTGGAGTTATTAGTCTTGATTATTGAGTGAGTGTTTACTTATTTACTATTTGCAGATGAAAAACATTGTTTAGTTTTAGCTGAATTGACAGATTTAAAACGTTTGATTTTTTTTCTCTGTCAGGATCGTGGACTGCATCCTTTTTTGGTCCCAGATACACTGGAGGATCAGCTACCCACTGAAGGTGGTCAGGCTGATGATCAGAGTGAGGGGTAAGTTGATGATGGAGCACAGAAGGACCTTTGTCTGCCACCATTCAAACACCATCCTTCACTTTTAGTACTAACAAATCTATTTACAATAAATGGATTTGTGTTTAGATCCATCCCTGGAAATCTGGCATTTAATAAATGATTTATTAAATGCCAGATTTCCAGGGATGGATCACGTAATCATGAGAACGTATTCTTAGTGACTCATAAACAACATGACGTTTGTGAGGAGCCACAAGGCGAAGGTTTTCGTCAAACATCTAAAC